CCATATGCGACTGTCGTGGAGCATGCATGAACTGGGCAAGTTTGTTTACACAAAATGCAATGCCAGTCCTTGTATGGAACACATATAGCAGTCCTTCAACAATGTTGCGATAGAAGTGAGCATCAGCAATAGGGTCTCCATCATCCCATCGCAACTTGGTGGTTGCTACCATGGGAGTTGGTGTAGTAGTGGCTTTCAACATGTTAGCTTTCTCAAGGAGTTCCATGACAAATTTCTTCTGTGATAGTGCTAGATATTCAGTGGTTCGTTTAACCTCGATCCCTAGAAAGTACGAGAGTTACCCCCAAGTCCTTTAGTGAGAACTTGTCACTCAACAATCGAACCACTTCATCCACTTCAGCACTCGAGTGTCCTGTGATGATGATATCATCAACATATACTAGCAGGTATACATAGTGCATGCCCTCCTTCTTAATAAACAGGGACACATCTGCTCTTGATTCTTTAAAACCAATACTCAACAAACTGTCTCACAGCTTGGTATGCTAACTCCTAGGTGCTTGCCTCAACCCATATAATATCTTTTCCAAACAACACCAGCTTACTTCCATCAGGAGCTTTTGTTCGAAACCTAGTGGTTGTTGCATGAAGACCACCTCCTAAAGATCACCATTCAAGAAGGCATTGTTCACATAGACTTGTCTTAGGGTCCAGTTGTTGGTTACAACCAATGACAGGATGACATTCAAGGTGTTGAACCTGACTACAGGGCTGAATGTGTCTCTAAAGTCATAGCCAGGAATCTGCGAGAATCCTTTAGCCATTAACCGTGCCTTGTAACGATAGATGGTACCATCAGGGTTTCTCTTGATTCTGCATAGCCATTTACAGTCTATCACCTTCATTTCTTCTGGTAGCTTAGTTAGTTCCCAAGTCTCATTGCGTTGTAAAGCATTATATTCTTCCCAAACTATTTCCTTCCAATCTGGAGTTTAAGCGCTTCATGCACACTGCATGGAACATCATCACCAGTAGTTCCTAAATATGTTTGGGTTTGAACACCCCACATTTACTCCGAGTCATCATTGGATGATTATTGAAACGACTGACTTCAACTTCAGTACCCTCATTTATGGTTGAGCTTTGCACATGTTGTTATAAGTTTATTTCATGTTCATCTGCATGAGTATCGATAGGCACCACAGGAGCATCCGCAGTTTCCACCATATCGTGACTAGCAGTTGTACTTTGCAAGCTGCCTGATGGATTGTTGTTGCTTGCACCTGGGGACAACCTGTTATTTTCACGTTGCGAAGACTCCAACCTTGCGACATCAGTGACCAGCTTAAGTGATTGAGATGTCCTTTCACTCGAGGTTGTAACTGGACTTCTTCCAGAGCTGTCTGCAAAAGGAAAAATATTTTCATTAAATACCACGTGTCTGGAAATGTAAACACGGCGATTGCTTGCTAAGTACTGAAACCCTTTGTGTTGTGTGTTGCATCCTAAGAAGGTACACAACTGGGATCTAAATTCAAGCTTGTGCTGCAAGAACGGTCTTAGATGTGGAAAACATCTGCATCCAAACACCCGCAGCCTGATGTAGTTTAGTATTCTTCCATGTAGCATCTCAAATGGAGATTTGTCAAGTAGCACCTTTGATGGCAGCCTATTAATAAGGTGCACAGTGGTCTAAATGGCATATGACCAAAATTTAATGGGCATGGAGGCTTGTGCAAGTATTACTAAGGTCATTTTAACCAAGTGTCTATGCTTTCGTTCCACCACTCCATTCTGCTCAGCGTGTGGGGGCAAGTGAGGCGATGAACGACTCGAGCTTTGCTTAATTCAACGGTTAGAGGTCAAAATACACCTTCCCAATCAGTTTGGAGAGCTTTGATTTTTCCTCCGAATTGTGTGGTAACTAGCTTCTGAAACAAGTGAAATGCAACCATTAGATGATATATATGTGGGGGTACCCATAGATCAGAGTACACGAGCTCGAATGGTTCGTTATGGAAAGTGTCTGAGCCAGGGAAGGGCAACTTGTGGCTTTTACCCAAATGGTAGGCAATACAATCTTTATTAACATCATGGAACGTTTTTACATTGATTTCTTTACAAATTTTAGCAAGGGTATCATAAGATGGATGACCCAGTCTTTTGTGCAGGTCTCTGAAGTTGTGGAAGAAGCCATGGCAGTCTGTACTTCAGCCACACCATTTTTGCATCGATTTCTACTTGCTTTGAAAGTATACAGTCCATTGCACTCTTCACCTTGCAGCAAAACTGCCTTAGAGGCTTTATCTCAACATAACACGTTTTGGCATGAAATTCAAGGAATACACTGTTATCCCTAGCAAGCTTTGAGACAAAAAGCAGATTTTTTTATTGAAGGAACATAGAGAATGTTACTTAAGGACAAGGTTCGAGATGAAGCATGCAGCTCAGCCTTGCCAACCAAATGAACTGGTAGATAGTCACCATTTCCTACCATCAACTTACCAGGATTGTTACAGTTCGAGTGAGGAGTGATCGAGGCTATGTTGGAGGTCACATGGTGTGTTGCACCGGAGTCAATTACCCACTGATCTTGACTAACAGACACTGCATGTTCTTGACCTTTCACAGGATTGTAACAGTACTCTTGTTACAGTGCTTGACTAACAGATACGTGCTACTGTAATTACAATAAGCACACACATTTTTATTGTTTCCATTTGTAGCATAGTAAGCTTTTGAGGATTCAAGACCAGACGTGTGTGATCATCAATTGTTATGCCAAAAAAATCCTCATTGAATCTATGCCAACATTAGCTGACAAGATGACCAATCTTGCCACATAGTTGGCACTGAACTCTAGATCGTGTTCTTCCTCTGCCACGAGATCTCCTACGCATGTAGGATGAGTGGTTTGATCGAGGCTGTTACTTTTCCCGGTTCTTGTAAGAGTCAACCTCAATCTTCCCTTGTGCAAGATTGGCACTGTCAGGCAAAGAATCAGGCTGATAATCGAATCCTTCAAGCTGAGTTTCAGCATCAACAAGCATTGTACATATGCTATCAAGTGACAGTGTGACATGTATGGCAGATATAACTACTATAAAGGGTTAATATTCCCTTGTAAGGCCTTTGAGAATACTCGCCACATGCTCAGCTACTGATACTGGACTTCCACAAGAATTCAATGCATCAGTAATCTCTTTTACTTTTGTGAGATAAGTTCTCATGCTATCTCCTCTTTTCTTGAGGGATTGGAGCTTGTAATGCAAGCTCATAATGGAAATGGCAGAGCGATTAGCAAAGAACTGCAAGACCTTGTTCCATACCTGGGCAGACGTTTCAGCACCAACGAACTGTGAAGCAAATGGGGACTAACCGTTGAAAGCAACCAAGAAGCCAACGCACTGTCTTGAGCCAAGAATTCTTCATGTTCTTCATTGACAACTGCAACTCCATCTTCGCTAATCAATGTCTCTGGAGGCGGCAGCATTGTACCATTCAGCATTCTTTCAAGACGATGGCTCCTTACAGTGAGTAGGACTTGTTGTTTCCATAGTAAGAAGTTCGTTTCATCAAGAACCACGTTCACCCTTTTATTGGTGAATACTTTAGTGTTTCTTGACGAGAACTCCATTGATGTGGTTGTAGACGAAACATTGTGATCCATAGCAGAATGAAGAGCGAAAGCACACCCTAGGACGTAGTAGCGAATGATACCATGTTGAGATAGCTGGTATGTTTAAAAAAACAGTTTAAAAGTGAAAGATGCTCTTCTTCATACCTTTCCATCATCCTTTTACATGTTTTATATAGCTATCAAGATTGCAAGAACTTAACTGAACTATAACAGCCTACACTAACAAGACTCAAACCGACTAACAATATTAACTGTTGCATCTTCAAGAGCAGTAATTTGTTGCACCTGTGGCTAGAACGTTCCATGCACGTTGGACAGTAATCAGCCATGCACGAGCGTACCAACATGCATCTTCAACATACTTCAACATTGGCGCAATTTACAAGCTTGTGTCATCTTATATTGCGAAATCGATCAAGTTATTCTATCTATCCTCTCCATTATTTTCCTCAAGCCTGCCCCCGTCCCTAAAGCCTTCTCCTATCTTTTCCAATTTACTGTTCCCTATCCTTGAACCACCACTATTTGGAATTAGTAGGCCATCAAGTTTCTTGGACATTGGATGTACCCAGTCCGTTACTTTTGATTTACCAGGAACCTTCGATTCATATTCTTTTCTTGTCCTCGTATCTCTTTTATTTGAATCCTTAATCGTTCTTACGGGACATCCACTTGTCCTATTCTTATTTTTGTTATCCTCTTTTATCGTACTGCTTTTTTTCTAGTATCGTAACCGCTTCATGGTTACCTCCCTTGGTAGTAGAATCATGAGTCGCAACGTTTGAGATCTGTCCCTCCACAATTGGTACGATCGTAATCCTTTTCAAAGTCTCCAATGTTGTACCCTCTTCCTGCCTGCCTTGTGCTTTTTTGTTTGGTACCCTTGCCTCCTTGGCTCCGACGTTGTCATGTTCCTTGTTGTTAGCCCCTTGATTGATTGTGAGGTTGTGTGTTTATGGCACACATGTATTCATTGTCGTCGATTCTCTCGCATTTGAAGTTACTTGTGTTTAGCTGAGCCAAGAATCCTTATCATTCACCCCTTTTTCCACTCTGTCTTCCTCTTTCATGCTGCAGATTCTTTTCCTTTGTTGATCCAGTTATTTCTTTCATTTGACTTGCTGGGACGACTACCAGTATAGCGATTTCATTATTTATTATAACATTCATTGTATTTCCTTAAATAATTTATCATAATCAAATATTTTATTAATTTTTCTAATCTCAATATTCCCTTGGAATTTAGCCTACAAAAATTAGCATAAATAATAGTCGATCTAAAATAAACCACCGAAGTTAATAAAATAAAAATAACAGTTATAAGCTTATGGTTGACACGCAAATGAAAGCATTAAATGGTGAAATCTATTAACTAAAAATATTTTCCCCAAAGAGAGGACAGAGGAGGAGTGAGAGAGCTTCTTAAGCGCCATTTTTACGTTTCCCAATTCCAACGCCCAAAATATGACATCTTAGATTCTGTAAGAAAAGGGATATTTTTTTATGTTCTTCAGTTGAAAGGCAAAAGGGAAAAGAAAAAACAATGGGTTGTACATTTTCAGGGCTGAATGCATTATACGACTCCACGAATGTTGGAGGGGACGTTTGGATCAACGAAAATCGGTTCAAGATCGTGAGGCAGTTGGGTGAAGGTGGCTTCGCTTATATTTATCTGGTTAAGGAAGCCATCCCCGATTCTTCTTCTGCTTCAGCCGGTGGCTTAGCCAACAAAGTCAAGGACCCTTCTCATCTCTCTGGTTCGTTACAGTTTTTTATGATTTGGGCGTTTCTCTATTGGGATTGGTTTTCATGTGATCTGGATCTTCCTTTCACTCTTAGTCATTGCTTTGAGTTTCTTATTACTTTGAATCTTATGTTTAGCTATATATTTTTTTCTAGATTGTGCAGTGTTGTTCTCTTCTTTGGATTAGATTTTTGTGATTTTATTGGGTAGAAAATTTAACTGAATTCTTGTGTCGGCTCGGTTATTGTTACTGAATGTATATATTCCATTCATTCTGGTTTATATGATTGGAGTCTGATATCATGTGTCTGTTTTATGAGAAATTCGAACATTTTATCAAATCGGATCGATAATTAAAATCAGGGATCGATGGGATCTTTATTCTGTTGGTAAAACTAAGGCGTTTGAATAGAATTTCGTACTTAATATGGAGTCATCATGTTTTCAGTTTTATGAAGGTTTGACTTCTTTCCTATCAGATTTCAGATTTTTGCATTTCCCCCCTTGTTATCTGAAATTACATCTTATATGGTTTTGCTAACCTTTCTTTGTTTCGAGATTTATCAAGGACGGTGACATCTGCTATGCCGTCTTCTGGATTTTAATGTTTTAATTTTAGTATTTGTGTATTCATTAGATCAAAGAGAAAGTTAATCTGGTCTTGGGATGAACTTACTCGGGTTGCATTTGTAGACGATGGAACTTACGCGATGAAGAAGGTTCTCATTCAGAGTAATGAACAGTTAGAATTGGTTCGGGAGGAGATCCGTGTTTCGTCCTTGTTTAATCACCGTAATCTGCTTCCCCTTCTTGATCATGCTATCATTTCTGTCAAGGTAATTATTCATATCTCTTTCTAATTTACGCAGTAAAAGAAACTATTCTTCAAGACGAAGTCTTCTTTCATTAAATCACTTTTCATGCAATTGGATTTGTCTGAAACAATTTTATTCAACTGGCTAGCCTACACAACAAGGGTCATGGAATCACGAAGCATATTTACTATTTCCTGTTCATTTGGATGGAACATTACTGGACAATTCCAAAGCCATGAGTGCTAGAAATGAATTCTTTTCTACCTCAGATGTTCTTCAAATATTGCGGCAGGTAAATAAAGCTATCTTACTTTTGAACCATGTTCTGATATAGATTTAGTTGATAACCATGTGGCGCTTATTATTGGTGGATGTAGTGCATTCTTCTATTTTCTAATATTTTCTCTTGTCATGTATTAGTAATTGTATTTTCTTGTCGGATTCGTTATTAGAAATGGCTATAAGCATTTTGATTGTCCCTAATTATTTCCACAGTTGTGTGCCGGACTCCAGCATATGCACAATCTTGAGCCTCCATATGCACATAATGATGTCAAGCCTGGTAATGTTCTTATAACCCGCAGAAAAGGGGAAACGCCTCTTGCTATATTAATGGACTTTGGTAGTGCTCGTCCTGCAAGGAAGCAAATTCACTCTCGTTCTGAGGCGCTACAGCTACAGGTGCTTATTTCTCCTTTATTTTTCTTCAGTATTGAAGAATCTTCTTATATTCTGTTCTTTTGAAACTTCTTTCTCATCTTTGCTGAAAAATAATCTCAATCTCTTCTAGTTCCTTAAATCTGTATGCATCATGTTCTACCAATAAACATGTGTATTTAAACATGTATAAAATGATGTATAAGTTAAGTACATAATTGGCTTATGTGTATGATGCATTTAGTTCTCATCATCACAAAATATGTTAAAAAATTTCTTCTTGATTTAAATGCTATAATAATTTACTGCATTGGCTTACTATTGTCATCCTTATATTTTCTGCCTAAATTTGAAATAATATTCATCTCTGTCAGCTTATTGCCTCTTCTACCATGGTTATGTTTGTTCTTTTGTTTCCATATAGGAATGGGCATCTGAGCACTGTGCAGCACCTTTCCGAGCTCCTGAGTTGTGGGATTGCCCAAGCCATACAGATATTGATGAGCGAACTGATATTTGGTCGTTGGGGTGCACTTTATATGCAATAATGTAATAATAAGTAAATCTCGTTTTTGAAGCTTCATGTTTTACTTCCTGAAGTCTTTTCACAATTTGTGGAGTCTCATGCGTGTGTGGCTTGCAGTGTCGCTGTTGCGTTGATGTAGCATAACGCTATCCTTAAACAAGTTAATGCTGTTATAGGATATATACTTTATCAGATGCTTTAGTTTATCTTTGGAGCTATTGCTTTTATTCTTTGTATCGAACCTTTTTTGCATATGTGGTTACCATTTTTTTTAATCTGCTTGTATTATTCATTGTCAATTGTCGCAGGTATAGGGTATCCCCATTTGAGTATGCTCTTGAAGAATCTGGAGAAAGCCTGCAACTGGCCATTGTGAATGCACGGATTAAATGGCCAGCTGGACCTAAACCGCAGTATCCCGACACACTTCACCAATTCGTGACTTGGATGCTTCAGCCTCAGGCAACTGTTCGCCCTTGCATAGATGATATCATATATCACGTAGACAAGTTGATCTTGAAGTTTTCACAGTGAAATATTATATTGGGACTCGGTTGATCAGGAAAGGGCATTCAACCGGTAATAAAAGATCAAATCGATCATCCACATTCTAGCAACTTGTTATAAAGGCAAGTTTTGAAGTACTTCTGAAATGAAAACAGTAGCAGTTCCTTTAATCCTTTTTGCCTGTGTTACTTGGATTCGAGGGCGAGCGGTTATCGAATATAGATATGCGTTTGTCTAAGTTTTTTGCTATATATATTTAAAGAATGATACCTCGTACCTATATCAAAATATGTTGGATAGGGGTGTCCAACAGGTGTAATTTATGGAAAGTGAAGAGTCATAGGTTTCTGGAGTATTTGTGGTAGCTGAGCATTAATTCTTGTCATAACTATTAAACTTCATGATCTGTGATTTACAGAAGTCCAGATCTCCCTCTACATCCGAGATACAATTTTTTTTATATATGAAATCCTCAATAATTTGTGTTATCCTTTTACTTCATATTTATGGGTATCTCATTTTTGTCTTTCTGGATTGCATATATATTGATAATGTCAATTTCATTTCATATGCCAAAGGCTTCAAGAAGTGGGTTCATTTTCTGTTTAGTATTTATACCCAACACTTTTGTTCCTTGAGCATGGTGCATGGATTTTTCATGCAAACACTTTGTCAGACATCCTTTTGTTACTTCACTTGTTCATATATACTATTGTTGCCTTTCACTTCCCAAGAGTAAATGCGACAAGTCAATTTTGGAGTTCTGATCGCTACCATCTTTCAGCAGAGCTGAGCAGATCTCAATTCATTTACAGTGCTTGCTGCTCTCTATGACAGTGACTTTCACATTTTTTTTTTATTTTCTGAGATAGAAATTAAATAATTACATTTTTTTTATTTTCATGTAATTGTGTATTTTTACTACTTCATTACTTTTGAGTTTACCTCTTTTTACGGTGTATTTTTTTTTTTTTTGCGAGACTTTGATAAAAATAGTACATTATCTATGAAAATCTTTATCCCTTGAGGTAATGATATTGCAACTCCTCCGAAGCCTTTAATTGATTTTGTACTATCGAATATGGTATTAGCATTTGCATCTTTTACAATCAAATAAGAAAAATATTTTCTATTTTTAATTATAATATGTAATGTCTGCAGGACATGCGTCTTCATTATTCGTCTTACTTTAAACACTTGAACATAAACCAATACCACAAAAGCACTCAAACATATCTTACCAACAGATTGGTTCAAGTGGTAAGCGGATTGATATCACTTAAGCATGTCTTGAGTTTAAATCTTTGTGTATGCACAAAATCTTAGCTGAAAGACTCGGCCATCACAACCAAATATATGACTCGGATCGAGCGAAATTTTGGAACCCGGAAGTGAAAAAAGCACTCAAACATATACTATCACATTTTAAATAAAAGGAAAAACAAAGCACAATAAAACCACACAATGATGAAATAACAAGTACCATAAAATCATAAAAGAAGTATGAAATATTAAAATTCTTGATTTCTTACATAAAATAAATTCTCTACGTCAAAATGGATCATTAAAATATTTAAAATAAAATAATTCTTAACCAATAAAATTAAAATAAAATCTCAAATAAATATGATCAATTGAAATTTAGGTCAATCCCTAACACTATAAGTTACTATAAGAGAAAAATGAAAATGTGATTAACATTTAATTACGTATAAATAAAATTTTTAATATTTGTTTATAAGTTTTCTAATATTTTAATTTTTTATTGATGAAGTTGTATATTATGATTTATTAATAATATATGCGATTTGTGTACCGATACATCAAATTTATAGGTTATTCTTTTAAAAATTATACTCCATTAATAGTATATTTTGGCAAAATCATAATGAGATGTGCAAAACCAACAACTCTTGTCCTTCGAAATTTAAGAAGCATTGATTTGTTTATTATATATACCGTCTAAGATAAATTTGGCTTTCTTTTGACAGCTTCTAGCTGTCTTCTGCTTGATTCAAAGTCAGAATTAATGGGTCCATAGGTTTCCAGGTGGTGAATTTATATCTATTTTGTAGCTTTCTAATAAGTGATGAGGTGGCTATATCTCTTGTTTCTTTTGTCTTCTCTAAATACATATCCTTAGATTATAACAACTTAATCAGTCATATCTTCTGCTATCCATTTCATTCCTTTTTTTTTTTCTTTTCTCCTTGCCGTAAAATTTGATATGGAGGCTTCCAAAACCCATGGAGGCATCGAGGAATGCCATAGCAGTGAATCAGGGTGGACGACGTACATTGGTTTCTCCTTACACGGCGGCGAAGAAGACGGCAGCGACGACGGACACGGTGAAAAAGCTGCTGTTGATGATGATGATGATTCAATGGCATCTGATGCTTCTTCAGGTCCAAGGCATCAAGAGCATGGAACCACGACGACTTTATCTTTCAAGCATGACGAAGAAAATGTGGACGACGAAAGGGGCTGTTTCTTGGACAAGAAAGGTAAGAAATCAATGGAGAAAGAAAAGCTTGGGTCAATGAAAAACAAACAAGACGAAGAAGTTAAAAATCAGAGACCATTGAAGGCAAAACGAGCTTTATCTGATCCTTGTCGAACAGGTTCCAAGTTAAGACAAAGCATATGGTTCGGTAAACGAAACTAGAAAACTGCGTCTTTTATTCCCTATAATTTTTGCTCTTCTCATGATGATTTTGCTGGTAAATACTTACCAGAATTCAGCGTAAGAACTTAGCTATATCATATATATATATATATATATATATATATATATATATATATATATATATGTGTGTGTGTGTGTGTGTGTGTTAAACCTCTGATGTAAGAATTCCATCAAGAAATATAAGCTTCCATTAATGTCAAATTATATCCCAATCGAATTCTTTAACGATTTAGCAGAAAGATTGCTGTAATACGAACTTACGACGGCACTTTTTTTTATTTGGATTTTGTTGGATATATATGTTTTTTTACTATATTTTGAATTATTTTATGTATCCCGTGGGATAAAAATACTTAACTTGAATGCAAAATATATGAAATCATAGATCTATTAAATCAATGACCCACCTACTTTACTTGACGTATATGAATGTTATTCCTAGAGCAATGACAAATCCGTAGACAAGTATTAGAAACCACATGAATTTTGTATTAGCAGATTATCTTTTTGTACAACTTGATAATGCTTATTATTTAATGATATATAATCTATGTACATTGAGTGATAACGATAAATAAAAATGAATATACAAAATAACTTAGTTTTCACATTAATAAGATCATTAAATGTCCTATTTACTCACAATTGAATTACCATATGCAATATGCAAGCACAATACATCATATATCATCAATGAATTTTTATCATTATTTTTAGACACTCATAACGTAATATCCTCATTGAATCTCTACATACGTCTAGTTTCTCTCCAACAAAAGAATTATGTGAAGAATAATTTTATCTTTGGAATTATTCAGAGTCATCTCGTACATTTTCGGGGTCTTGAGTGAAATCTCAAAAATATGCTTTTATAAAATGAAAGTATATTTCATTACTTTGAACAATTAATTTAATATTACATAAATAAATCATAGAAAATGATTAAATTTTACGAAAATATATTTTTTATTTATTTTATTAAGAAACTTAATACAACTAAAAAAAAAAAAATATAAAGGATTGAATGCATGTATAATATATAGCTTGATTTGAATAATAAATAAATAAAAAGAATTGTATATTATTTTTTGTTAGATTGAGATTGAAGAAGACTAAAATTAAAGAATATTGATAAACTAAATAGTGAGATTTGAAAAAAGAAAAAATGATTAGATTTAATTCAAAATTGAATGAATAAATTAGAGAATGAAAAAAGAGGGTCGAAAATTAAACATTTAATGAAATTATAAAATTAAGGCCCTAATTAAATAAAAAGTTGTTAATTTAATTTAATTTTGAATGGATTAATGAAAAAGAGGGTCAAAAACTAATTTTTTTATGAATTATAAAAGTTAAGGGTTCTAATTATAAATATAAAAATTTGTTGAAAACATTTTGATGTTTCGATATAACAAATAAAGTGTAAATGAATTTTAAGATTTATATTCGATTTCAAAATAATATTTGATTAAAATAATTGAATATCAAAATATACTCCAAGTTTTTAAATGTCAATTTTACTCCTTACTTAAGTGTAAATTGTGTTTAATCTTAAAATATTTTTGAAACAATTTTAACAAAGTATTTGAACCTTAATCGAGCCAAAAATAAGTTTGAAGTAGAGGTGTACCGATAACCGAATGTACCGATCCCCCTGAATTTCGAATGCAATAAGGGTACCGATACACAACTGAATGTACCGATACCCCTCATGTAAATTTGGCTCCGAGAAACATCGAATGCAATTAGTGTACCGATACCCCTGGGAGGTACCGATACACTTGGTTAAATAACGGTCAAAATATTTGAAATTTACACTGGTGTACCGATACCCTTTGAAGGTGTACCGATACCCCTACGCTCCTAACAGATTTTTTAAATGGAAAACATACACCAACGGCTCTATTGACTCCACCAATGATCCCCAACGTTTAGAATTGATCCAATGTGCATTTAAACAAGTTTTGAAGCCATTGATCAACAAGAATTGAGAGAAAATCAAAGAAAAGCCTTAAACTTATTGTTTGAGCATTTCAAGCCTATTTTCCATTCAATATTCATTTTGCTTTCAAGAACTCCATTTGTACTCAATTGTATTCATTTTTTAGTGTTCTTTCTTTGTTCTAGAATTGTACAAACATCTGACCTTGAGAGGTTTTTCTGTAAGTTTGCGAAATTTGTAATTTTCTCTTTGAGAGAGAGTGTTCTCAAGAATTTGGGTATAATTCTTGAGGGAGTTGTAAGGTTACTCTTTGTCCTCAAAAGAAAGACAAATTAGTGAATTTGTGGAAAATCCTTAGTGTGGATAGCTAAGTAGTGGATGTAGACTTTGGTTGAGAAAGTCGAACCACTCTAAATTGTTGTGCAAATATTTTCAATTTTTTGTCAAAGCTTCTACCAAATTTTTAATTGCCAATTCACCCCCTCTTGGTTATTTCATCAATCGATTAACTCAATAATTGGTATCAGAGCTACACTCATTTGAAGGTTTTACCACCTCTTGAGTCGATTCGGGAAGAGTTATATCGATATTCAAGTCATCAATGGCCTCCACAAAATTTCGACTTCGTTCTTGAGTCCATTCCCGTCAACAAGCCTCTTTCTTCAATTGAGCTAACTGTGCTTATTGGAAGAATAGGATGATGTACTTCATTCAAGCTAGTGACATGAGAGCATGGAAAATCGTGATGAACGGATACTCTGAACCATCCACAGATCCAAATTTGTGGAGTGAAGAAGAGACGAGAATGTTCCAGCTCAACTCAAAGGCTATCCATATTCTTTTTTGCGCACTTGGACCAG